ATAGTATGGTCTTTTAGGTCTAAAGCAGGCACGGATAGATTTTATATTGTTGATACCAATAAAATTCTTTTAACAATTTTTGGTCGTCAAAAGATATACAGTTCGCAGGTATAAGATAGAAAGGTTCAAAGTTTTATTTTGAATGTAAAAACAAGACAATTACAATACAGTTAACATTTTAAAGATAGAAAGATTCAAGCATACAAACTAGTAGTTTAACACATATATAGATTAATATGTTTTTGTTATGTTTAGCTGGGAAAATCATACACACAGTAGAAGATCTTCATGAACAGATTGAAGTTGTTAAGAAGGTTCTGGATACTACGTCAAGGTTCATGAGTGTCAAAGGTAATTTCCTACTACAAACAAACTTCATAAATGTTTCGAAACGATTTATATCGAACCAGCAAAGAATTTTTAAACCCTGCATTGAAACACACTAATCTACAGCTCGGATACTAGTACTTTAAGGCAATCGAATTTACACTTTTAAGAAGACCTTTAGAATTTATAAGAACGGGTACAATCACGGTTGCATTAAGCTTCAAAAGGCTAAGAAGAAAATGAAAATCATAATTTGCGGACTATCATGAAACAGAGGAACGATATTAGGATACTAAACAAATAATTATGTGTTAGATTGCTGTGAACGTTAACACGAATCTCCTATACCCCATGTCAACCAGTCTTTGTTCTTACTCCTAAATGCCGTGTGTTTGCGGACCATACACGTTTCTTGAAATTTACCTAAATTGGAATCACATTCTTTTAATTTGAAATTCAATTGTTGCATGTATAAGTTGTGGTCCTAACGTTTTCCAAAAGATATGTTTGCTAGGTGTTTTTCGCAATTATTATTTGTTTTATATTTCAGCCAAAATCAGAAATGCCTCGATAGTCCGGAAGGCTATGGTTTCAATCACCGATCGGATGAAACCAAAGACTTAAAATAGATATTTGCTAAGCATGTGATATTAAGGCTTCCCCTTTTGACTGACACCCAAATTTGTTCACCCCTACACATTCATTATACAAACGTTGTCCTTCAGACACAAACAGGTTCACGATACTAGCAAGTTCTATAGTTTTGAAAGCATCACTTACAGTTTCGTAATAAAATGATTTTCTTAACAAGTATGGTAATACATGTATAAATACACATCTCATTGCCAACTGAATATCTGTGCATATATTATTCATAAATCGCTTGACATGGATAAGATCAAATAATGTTCACCTCATCGCACACAGGCAATTGTCTCTGAATAAAAGTGTTATATTAAGGTAAATAGGTTTTTTTTCAGAGACAAGTGCCTGTGTCATCGCAGTATGTTGTGTGAACTCACAAAAAAAAGGTACACAAGGTAAAAAATAGCTATCCAGCCCGAGATTGTAAGGATTTTGAACATTGCCACAATTTTACAGCGAAAATTGCCAGGACCTCCTCTATTGGAAAATTCGAAGAGAGTGAATATGTTATTAGTTCATGCTGAAGTGAAAACATAATGAAGACGAACATAAAATATCGTTTTTGACGACCAAGTCAATATTGCAATACTTGTCATGAATGAATAGCTTCATTAGGTTTTGATATTTACTTTTATAAACAAGAAATGCCTTCTAGTTATAAGTTTCGGTTTCATCTATTTCATAATAATACTGCTTGACGAAATCTTTTGAAATGAACACAGGTTTTGGATAGTAAAGCAGACGAAACATTTCAGCATGTGCACTCTTAAATTGAAATCTAACGAGAATTGACAACGTAAGACCAATTACAACAACCCCTCTCCAGTTTCATATTTGGTACACAAAGTTTTGAAATGGAGGTGTAAGTATAAAAGTATAGAATGCATGAAAAAATGCCATTAAAACGAATTATTTTCAGTTTATAAATTGAAATTTCACTAAATTCAGTCCCAACAAATTTGATAAAATGAAAAGTTATCATATCACCATTCATTTTGCTGTTTAAATCATTTGAGTTTGGGCAAGGATTTGTATAGTTACTATACAAATCCTTGGTTTGAGTGATGTATGAAAATAAGTAAATTTTGCAGTGTAACTTATTTTGTCCATTTGATGCTTTTTTTTTTTAACTCTACATACATGTAACAAGAAAAATTGAATTCCGTGATCTCATATAAATTAAACAAAAATACTCATAGCAATAATGTCATTTTTAAAGAAAATTCTAAGGGCCAAATTTTTGAGCAATCACAATTTAAGGTGAAGGAAGAAAAATGGACTATATCACAGATTTTGCTAAAACTTTGCATACAACCTTGGCTCGTTGAACTATAACTGAAAATCGAAAAAATTATGCATTTATCTCTTTTATTATCTGAAAAATTACTGATTGAATTCTCAATTAGGTGAAGATTTGTATAGAAAGTACATGAAATCGGCAAATAACCTTCTTAATTTGTCTTAAATCATAAAATCTCTACTTTCTAATACATAAATTTTTCCTTAAAAAACTATATGTTGTTGATACATAAATTTCTGTTTTAATGATATAAAATAATCATATGGTCATCGACTTCGTTTTTTGTCTAATAATCAATCTGTTATCTAGTTGAAAGTGAAAAACGTCAAAAATTAACATTTTACGGCCTGCAACGTTACGATTATTTCAACCTATTGTGGGAATTTTTCACATAGAACATCACTTCTGAATGATGTATACCGTATAAAAGAAGTTGTTGACCCTATCTTTATTTTACATCATTATAACGGAAGTTAATGTTAAAAGAGATAAATGCATTATTTTTTTGGATTTTCAGTTATAGTTCATCGAGCCAGAGTTGTATGCAAAATTTTACTAAAATCTGTGACATAGACCATTTACTGTTACTTAAACCTTAGAATGAAACTAGACACAGAGGATGCCCTCACTGCATCAGCAAACATTCGAAATAGCAAACAGAGATGTTGAAGTACAACTTGAAGTGGCTGTGCCTATAAGACAAATTTGATGCCCCTGCCATAGTTCTGATTTATTCCATAATGCAGGGCAATTAAGTTGTTGCATCTTTCAAACTTCATAACTATTAAGTTGGGCAAAGCAAATGGGCAGGGTAATAAAAATGATAAAGTTCAACATCTAGCATTTGGTGGAAAATTCAAATTAAAGATATCAAAATCAAATCCTGACAATGTACACACTTCGTATATGTACTAACACCATTGAAAATATAAAGGTAACCGTAGGACTGGATTAACCATCTACCCTGCATGCCTTATACATGTAAAACAATAAAATGACAAAGTTCAACAATACATGTATGCATTTGTGAAAAATTTAAAGAAAAATCAAAGTCCTAACTATAAGCACACCTGTAGTATATGAAATACCACTACATAATATAAAGTTTTTGCTTGAAACTGTTGGAGGATTAGCCAGACATACCATATACCCTTTGGTGGAGGAAAGGATGGGGGTAAATCAATATCATGAAAATGCTCCCTCCCCACCATTTTGTTGCAAGGGCATAAAAATGTAAATTCAATGTTCTTGTTTGGTATAGATCAAAACTGGGACAAATGAATGGGTTGGTTTTGGGCGTGGACAACACTTTATACCCCACCACTCATTAGTTTTATATTCATTTGTAACAGAATTATATTTGCACTCAACACTATTACCCAAAGAAAAAGATCATGTGGTGTCAAAACCTCGCATACTTTGTGCATTCAATACATTTATAGATATAACCGACTTTTTTTTTTAAATGAGTGTATCTCTAGAAATATAAATGCTTCATAAATATTTTTTTTTATATTCATATGCAGTTCAACCAGTTTTAAATGCATACGAATTTCATAAAAATCCAAAATACTACATATAAATATCTGTACTTCCCCTCAGGTGTTTTTCCTTATGATAAATTTTGAATGTTAAATGTGATTGGAAAACTCCATGTTTGCACTTTTATTTAAAAGCATATAAAATTTGAATTAATAAACTGTTGATGCAGAGGTATGTCTTGTCTGTATGTAATTTTGATAATAAAATGCAAATGTTGAAATTAAAATGGCAATACTTTTACATGTAAACTATGGCATTGTATGGAAAACATTTAAATTTTTTATCTCAGGGCCTTTTATAGGCAACTATAGTGTATGGGTTTTTCTCATTGTTGAAGGCCATACGGTTGCCTATAGTTGCTTACATCCACTAAAGTCAATGAACCATGACTGAAGGTGCAGGGCCAAATAATCTACGTGAAAATGAGATATGCTAGTACAGCTGCATACCAAATATCAATGACTTATCAGAAGTGAATTCCCTAAAACTGACAGAATCTCAAATTTTTACATGTAAACTATGCAAAAGTTTCATTGTCAATGGAACCATGACTGAGGGGATGTGGCCAAATAATCTACTTGGATAAAAGATGAATCAATGCAAATACAACTTCATAACACATATCATTGACTTATCATAAGTGGTTCTCTAAAAACTGGCCTAATCACAAACTTCAACATTGAAACTAAGCAAAAGCTTTAAGGTCAATAGACTACACAAATGGACTTTGATTGAGGGGGCCGGGCCAAATAATCTCCAGGGAAATAAAATGTGCCAATGCTCTTACAACTGCATACCAAATATCATTGACCTACATGTGGTTCCCTAAAACTGACCTAAACACAAACTTATACATTGTTAACGCCGCCAATGCTGGAAACAGCATGCCTAAATCTCGCTTTTTTTTCCACTTCAACGACGCGAGACAAAAAAGTACACAGTGACACTATGTGAAAAAAACATTAATTCTATGTCTATGAAATGTTTTCAATGTCTAAATTTTTGTGTGGTAGACAAATTAACTGCATAACAAATATCACTGACTTACCATTAGAGATTCCCCTTAACTGACCTAGTTACAAACTTTAACAAATTGTTGATACTACCATGCTGCTGCCACCGCCAGAAACAGCATGCCAAGTCTCACCTTAGTAACTTCCTCAAGGGAAGACAAAAACTACATATATAACCCTCAAAGATTTTATTTTCAAAGAAACGAGATGCGTAAGGCCAATCTAATACACATAAATACAGCACCAATATCAATTTCAAAAAGTCACCTATTTTAAGTTATACATGTATTATATCCCTCAAATATGATTCTTTAAAAAAATTATTGAATGAAATGCAATCTGTGAAATAAAATATTACTTATTGTGCATTTTCTATAAGATTGCATATAATATTAATATTACATGTACTGGTAGGCTATTCTTGCACAATAATGTTTTCTAATATACAGTAATTCTGTTAGGTTGAATGATTTTCTAAAAGTATCTCCATGTAAGTATTATGCATGTAATTGTATGCCAAAATGTGTATTCACAACCTTAATATAGTCCCTTCTCGTGATCTAAATCTGCAGAATTTCTGTTAAGATGAATAAATACTGTGGCTTATCATTAATTATATTTTGTGGGGTGCTTATTTTCCAAAAAATCATTGGTATTTGTGAATCATATAAAGTTTTTAACAAAATTCAATACAAAAATACAATATTTCCTCACACAATTGATAATTGGTAACCATGAAAATATATGAGTTCACAGTATCCATGGTAACATCCCACTTGTTTGTAGATTACAAGTCTATTCACAACCTTATAGTCCTTTCTTCTGATCTAAATCTGGAATTTCATTATTCACAACATAGTCCACTTTATCATCATTTTGAGCAATACTCGTTGGTTTTGTTTCTTCTTCTTTTACTTTAGGTTTCACTTTCTTTTCTGTGTTTCCTGCTAGCCACTGAAAAAGTCTCTTAATCCAGTTTATCAAAGTTAATACAACAAGAAAGGCAACAACCAACAACACAACTATAGAAAACAAACTCAACTGATATGTATAGGCTACCATTGTTCCTTTGTTCAACTGGATTACAAAATTATGCTGTGCAATTAGAACAACTGGACTGAGACGTGAAATCACATACAGTAAAAAGGCTCAGTGTCAGGCAATCTAGCTAACAGCATTTGGATCTTCCTTGTTCATGAAGTAAACTTTGACAACTCCTTTTGGAGTTTTAACATCCTCTTCAAATCTTCTAAACATCCATGATGCAAAGCCATACGTCAGTGTAGGGACACCTTAAAAAAAAGCTTTGAAAAATGTAAATTTAAATTAAGTCACTTAACATTTATTTTGAAAATAAAAAATGATCACATGTTAAAAAGGAACAATACTACTGTAATATTCTATGATTGTTTTTTTTTTCGTCTATTTTTTTGGGGTTGTCATGGCTGGTGCTGATTGAGGTGGTCTGTTGTTCTATCAAATATATTTCTTAATTCCCGTTATCCTCTTTATGTACTATCAATCAGTATTTCAATTAAATCTATGTATGATGACATTTTCACTATAAGAGGCCAACAATTTAAATCACGAACCAGGAAAGGTGGGGTAAGGGTTGGGGTGGGGTTGATAAAACTTAGCTTACTAACAGAAATGAGCACAGAAAAGTTAATAAAATGCTTCGCTGGGCGCAGCTTGATACGACCGCAGAGGTCGAACCCTGAACAGTTGGGGCAAGTATGGACACAACATTCAAGCTTGATACAGCTCTGAATTTGGATTGTGATTAAATATTTGACACAGCATAGGTTTCTGACACAGAAAGAATGTGGTCTAAGAACTTCAATTTTTTTAATTTACCTATTATGGTCCAATGTCCAAAATCAAAATACATGGTTAGATTCAGCATATCAAAGAACCCCATATATTCAATTTTTGTTGAAATCAAACAAAGTTTAATTTTGACCCCAACTTGGACAAACTTGAAAACTGGTCCCATAATCAAAAATCTTAACACATGTTTAGATTCGGCATATCAAAGTACCCCATGAATTCAATTTTTGTTAAAATCAAACTAAGTTTAATTTTGGACCCTTTGGACCTTAATGTAGACCAATTTAAAAAACGGGACCCAAGATTAAAAATCTAAGAACACGGTTAGATTTAGCATATCAAAGAACCCCAATAATTCAATTTTTGATGAAATCAAACAAAGTTTAATTTTGGACCCTTTTGACCTCAATATGAACCAATTTGATAGCTGGCCCACAAATAAAAAATCTAAATACATGGTAAGATTCAGCATATCAAAGAACCCCATATATTCAATTTTTGTTGAAATCAAACAAAGTTTAATTTTGGACCCCAACTTGGACCAACTTGAAAACTGGGCCCATAATCAAAAATCTAAACACATGTTTAGATTCAGCATATCAAAGAACCCCATGAATTCAATTTTTGTTAAAATCAAACTAAGTTTAATTTTGGACCCTTTGGACCTTAATGTAGACCAATTTAAAAAACGGGACCCAAGATTAAAAATCTAAGAACACGGTTAGATTTGGCATATCAAAGAACCCCAATAATTAAATTTTTGATGAAATCAAACAAAGTTTAATTTTGAACCCTTTTGACCTCAATATGAACCAATTAGATAGCGGGCCCACAAATAAAAAATCTAAATACATGGTAAGATTCAGCATATCAAAGAACCCCATATATTCAATTTTTGTTGAAATCAAACAAAGTTTAATTTTGGACCCCAGTTTGGACCAACTTGAAAACTGGGCCAAAAATCTAAAATCTAAATACATGTTTAGATTCAGCATATCAAAGAACCCCAATAATTCAATTTTTGATGAAATCAAACAAAGTTTAATTTTGGACCCTTTTGACCTCAATATCAACCAATTTGATAGCGGGCCCACAAATAAAAAATCTAAATACATGGTAAGATTCAGCATATCAAAGAACCCCATATATTCAATTTTTGTTGAAATCAAACAAAGTTTAATTTTGGACCCCAACTTGGACCAACTTGAAAACTGGGCCCATAATAAAAAATCTAAACACATGTTTAGATTCAGCATATCAAAGAACCCCAAAAATTCAATTTTTGTTAAAATCAAACTAAGTTTAATTTTGGACCCTTTGGACCTTAATGTAGACCAATTTAAAAAATCGGACCCAAAATTAAAAATCTAAATACACGGTTAGATTTGGCATATCAAAGAACCCCAATAATTAAATTTTTGATGAAATCAAACAAAGTTTAATTTTGGACCCTTTTGACCTCAATATGAACCAATTTGATAGCGGGCCCACAAATAAAAAATCTAAATACATGGTAAGATTCAGCATATCAAAGAACCCCATATATTCAATTTTTGTTGAAATCAAACAAAGTTTAATTTTGGACCCCAGTTTGGACCAACTTGAAAACTGGGCCAAAAATTTAAAATCTAAATACATGTTTAGATTCAGCATATCAAAGAACCCCATATATTCAATTTTTGTTGAAATCAAACAAAGTTTAATTTTGGACCCCAACTTGGACCAACTTGAAAACTGGGCCCATAATCAAAAATCTAAACACATGTTTAGATTCAGCATATCAAAGAACCCCAAGAATTCAATTTTTGTTAAAATCAAACTAAGTTTAATGTTGGACCCTTTGGACCTTAATGTAGACCAATTTAAAAAACGGGACCCAAAATTAAAAATCTAAATAAAAGGTTAGATTTGGCATATCAAAGAACCCCAATAATTCAATTTTTGATGAAATCAAACAAAGTTTAATTTTGGACCCTTTTGACCTCAATATGAACCAATTTGATAGCAGGGTCCACAAATAAAAAATCTAAATACATGGTTAGATTCAGCATATCAAAGAACCCCATATATTCAATTTTTGTTGAAATCAAACAAAGTTTAATTTTGGACCCCAATTTGGACCAACTTGAAAACTGGGCCAAAAATCAAAAATCTAAATACATGTTTAGATTCAGCATATCAAAGAACCCCATATATTCAATTTTTGTTAAAATCAAACAAAGTTTAATTTTGGACCCTTTGGACCTTAATGTAGACCAATTTGAAAACTGGATCCAAAATTAAAAATCTAAATACACGGTTAGATTCGGCATAACAAATAAATAAATGTGGTCAAAGATTTTACAAATCTAATGCGCCATACTGTGCAATTAAAGATTACTTCTTGAAATTTTTTAATATTTGAAATTTGAAAAAAAAATAATATTTGAAGAATAATTCTTTTTAATTTCTGAAATTTGAAATGAGAAAAAATTGACCCCCCACAATTTCTTTTTACCCCCCCCCTTTTTTTTCCCCCAAACCATAATTACCCATTTAAATTTACCATAGTGCTAACTTAATCTATTTTATAATAGAATTTAAAATATAGTGTCAAATCTTTCATATGGATTTTTTTGTAAAAAAAAAAGATGCAACATTTGCAGATATTTTTACTGGTCTTCCTTTATAAATATGCATTTCTTTAAACATAATTTAAAAGCAGTGTAATGGAAGTAACCAAAACGTTGTATTTGGATTACCTCCCTTACACTGTTTTAAATTATCTTAATTGTTCATTAACCATTACTTTATACATAATTTAAAAGCAGTGTAAGGGAGATAATTTCAATGATGTATTGATTTATCTCCCTTACACTGCTTTAAATTATGTTTTGTACTAAAGTATTTGTCCATTAACCAGGACAACCTTGTTTTTCCCCCTTTTTTGCCCCTAATTCTTAAACGGTTTGAGCCATAACCCCCCAAAGCAAATCCTAACCATCCCTTTGTGGTATGGAAACCTGTAGTATAATTTCAGAGAGATCCATACACCGTTCCACAGTTATTGTTTGGAAACTAGAAAATGCTTATTTTTGGCCCCTTTTTGGCCCCTAATTCCTTAACTGTTGGTACCATAACCCCCAAAATCAATCCCCACCTTCCTTTTGTTGTATTGAACCTTATGGTAAAATTTCATAGAGATCCATTCACTTAAACTAAAGTAAGAGTGCGAAAACTAATGCGTCTTCGGACGACGCCGCCGGAAAACGACGACGACGACGACGCCAACGTCATACCAATATACGACCACAAAAATTTTTTTGCGGTCGTATAAAAATGGGAGACAATCTTTCATACAAAATAATGTTTTAACAGGAAACTTCAAAAACAAACATTTTCATTCTATTTTTATCAAAATCTCATTGTGACTTTGAGATGAAAAACAGCATTAAAGGCACTATTCTTTTGCATTTGGTTTGGTCAAGAGCATGAATGGATTTTGTGATGTAAATTTTTTCCATTATGTTATAAAAACCTAATATACAGCAAAGGGAAATAACTTCTGCATGATTTCTATAATAACATAATCTTTGTTATTTTCTCTGATAAACTTGTTTAGTATTTTTTCTTGACTGTTGCAGTCAATGTTTCAGGAGGCACTCCACTAAATAGGCATCCTGTTAAGTTTAATGTTAAATGAGCAAATTGTGAAAAATTCTCAAATATCAAATTGATTTTTGCCAGTAATATCATGATGCTCATCATATTTTACATACATTTAGAACTTTACAAGTTTTTTTTCTAGTGATTCATTACCAAATACGAAAAAATATTTCAATTTCATATATTACTCCCAAAACCTGACAACTTTACAATCAGACTACCTTTAAAATTTCCTGTGTACTAAGTTTATTTAAAGTCTACACTGAAACATAGGATTTCTATAAGCAGTCACACTTTGTTTTTGATACAAATTGAGATACATATGGACAATAAGATGGTTGTCCGTTTATAACTTTTGAAATCATTAAGAAACTAAGGTTTCAACTCCCTCAGGCAAAGTTGACCTTAGATAGATTGGGCTACGGCTATTTTTTTCAGGTTCTATTTGGTCACATAGCTCTTCAACTGTTTCGGTTCTTATACATCCTTGGCTTTCAAATATTTGGCTTTGAGTGTTCCTGATGAAGGTAAGTCCTGAAAAATGCTTCGGACGCACGAAATTTATAATGTGTTATTTTCATTTTTTTACAGCACTTGGTCATTACCTCTGCTGTTGGACTATCAGTCCCCGAGGGTATAATCAGCTCAGTAGTCAGTATTTTGGTACTGACATGATTTATAACAGTCCATTTATAAATTTTGAAATTATTAAGAAACTAAGATTTCAACTCCCTCAGGGAAATTTGACCTTAGATAGATTTGGCTATTTTTTTTTAGTTTTTTTTGGTCATATAGCTCTTCAACTTTTTCCATTCTAATACATCGTTGGCTTCTAAATATTCAGCTTTGAGCGCTCCTGATGAAGGTAAATCCAGAAAAGTGCTTCGGATGCATGAAATTTAAAACGTGTTGTTTTCAATCTTTTTTTGATAGAATTGTCTCGGACAAATTACTAGCAGCTATGAATTATTTGTGCAATAATTTTAACATCTGTTAAAATCTGTCCGTCTAAATGGTGGATTGTCCCCTTCAATGTACAGATACATTTCCCAGTGTATAAAGGGAGATAACATTTACCTAGATTTATGATTTTCAAGACTGTGATAAATTGATCTTCTGAGTACAGATCTTGATAAGGCCTTTTGGTACAATGGAACTTAATGAATGGATAACAGCCAGTTCTCAATACATGGTAGTTAGCTCCATCTACACACCAGTTAAAGTGAGACTTTCCAAACTTGTCGTTTATAACATCTCTAAAATAAAACAATTTCTTATTCATAATTGTATTTAAAAGATATACATGTATTCTTTCACATTTGAACAGACTGACCTATAATAACTATGTATTAACAGTATATTACTTACATCATGAACTTATTTGAACTACCATTTTAAAACTTCAGGGTTTTATGTCAAGTAAAAGTCAATTTTTTAGAAATACTTTTTTGATTAAAAGTCCATAAAAAACTGTTTGGTACAGTAATCGAATACATATATCCATACACTTGAACACAAGTTATTGTCTGGAAACTAGAAAAATGCTTGTTTTTTTGCCCCAAATTCCTAAACGTTTAGGGCAATTACCCCCAAACTCAAACCCAGCTTTCCCTTTGTGATATGGAACCTTGAATTACAATTTCATATAATCCATACACTTACACACAAGTTATTGTCCTGAAACTAGAAAAATGCTTGTTTTTTTGCCCTTTTATGGCCCCTAATTACTAAAATTTTGAGGGAATTACCCCCAAAATCAATCCCAGCCTTCCCTTTGTGGTATGGTACCTTGCAGCACAATTTCAGAGAGATCCATACACTTGAACACAAGTTATTGTCTGGAAACTAGAAAAATGCTTAATTTTGGCCCCTTTTTGGCCCCTTTTTCCTAAACTTTTTGGGCAATTACCCCCAAACTCAACTCCAGCTTTCCCTTTGTGATATGGAACATTGTAGTACAATTTTATAAAGATCCATACACTTACACACAAGTTATTGTTATGAAACTAGAAAAATGCTTGTTTTTTGCCCCTTTTTGGCCCCATAATTCCTAAAATTTGGAGGCAATTACCCCCAAAATCAATCCCAGCATTCCCTTTGTGATATGGAACCTTGTGATACAATGTCAGAGAGATCCATACACTTACACACAAGTTATTGTCATGAAACTAGAAAAATGCTTGTTTTTTGCCCCTTTTTGGCCCCTAATTCCTAAAATTTGGAGGCAATTACCCCCAAAATCAATCCCAGCATTCCCTTTGTGATATGGAACCTTGTGGTACAATGTCAGAGAGATCCATACACTTACACACAAGTTATGTCTGGAAGTTACAAAAATGCTTATTTTTGGCCCCTAATTCCTTAACTGTTGGTACCATAACCCCCAAAATCATTCCCCACCTTCTTTTTGTGGTATTGAACCTTATGGTAAAATTTCATTGAGATCCATTCACATTAACTAAAGTTAGAGTGCGAAAACTAATGTGTCTTCGGACGACGACGACTACGACAATGTCATACCAATATACGACCACAAAAATTTTTTTGCGGTCGTATAAAAACCTTGCAATAATTTCTGAACTTACAGTACTTGATTTACTACCTTTTGTAAATAACAAAGGATGTCCAGTAAGGAGTATTTCTTTGTCTGAGGTGACAGGTCAACACATCAGAACTTCTTGGTTTTGTGGAACATCTGTTGATAAACAAAATTAAGTTTCTTATCCCTGCATTAATTCCATTTAGCATTAAAATCTGAAAAAAATCAAAAGGGAAAATTTTATTGGACTTATTTTTTATATCTGTGAATTTATTTGTTTTCATGTGCAACATCTTTAGTGGATTGTGTATTATTGAAGTAACATAATTAATAAGTATAAATGTACAATTTCATGGATAAACAAAAATCTCAGACGTCAATAACATTTATTTGGACTTTAAGGTATTGGATGACTCAGCTCCTCATCCCTACCACAAAAGAAACAAAACGGACGCCTTTAGGGTATGATTATCTAGACTATTATGGCCTCAAAATAAAACTGTTAAGTGGATCACATCTTCATGAATGTGGGATATTTTTCTTACAGATGAGATCAATATTTTCCTTCAAAAGATAGGCCCATATAAGAATTGCTGCTTATTCCAGAGTCCAAGCAGGCCTCTACAATAACATTTTTTTCAACTTGCCCAATAGGACAAGTACATACCAAAACTTACTTGTCCGAAAGGAATTGTAACTTGTCCAAAAATAAAACCTTTCTATTAACCTTTTTTGCATTTAAGGTTGATTCAATGGACAAAATGAATTAAAACAATAAAAACAGAATTTGATTTATATCTCTTGATATCCTTTTGAAAAATATGAGTCAAGAACAACTGAATCTAGTCATGTCTAGTCACTGGACTTAGGTTCAAGTTTTCATTAAAGCCAAAGTTTTATCAGACTCTGCACATCAGGCTTAATCTGGTAGGCCTGTCAGTCTACATTCATTTTGTTTGTATCCTGGTCTTTTATGCTGATAAAATATTGATTATTATGATTAATGTATGGTGGCCGGATGCGGCCATGTCGCCTTTTCGCGTTTTCTCCTTTCTATTTCACGCGAAATCGGGAAATTGAGAAATCAAGAAAGCAAAAACGCAAAAACGGGAAATGAAATAGATTTCTGGATTTTGCATTTTTGCTTTCTTCATTTCTCGATTTCACGTTTTCGCTTTCTCGATTTCCTGATTTCCCGATTTCTCGATTTCCCGATTTCGCGTTTGCAAAGTGAAAGGAGAAAACGTGAAAATACGAACAGGTGAAATGGCCGCATCCGGCCACCATATTAATGCCTTACTACAATCAGCTTTGTTTTTAATATATATTAAAATGTTTATTCAAACACAATCAAATATTGTTTGTCTAAATATGATCAAATATAATTTTCTGAATTCTATGGTCAATAATTTCTTCATTTTTATTTTTAAAATATTTTTGTTAAATAAATTTTATCATATATTTATAATAAAGCAACAGAATAAGTACAGGGAAACAGGTACTGGTTTGTCTTGGTCCCTAAATGTCTCCAACTGTGCCAAACTGTCTTGGATGGAGCCAATTCGTTTTCGTGCCGGTGCCAAACTGTCTTGTTACCTTATATACAAAGCCCACCTATGCCTTTTATCTGTTATAAAGTATCTGACAAAGAACCAGTTTTAAATTATGATGGCAAGTAAGCATGTCAAATAATAATTATTTGTTTTTATGTTCTTTTCTTGTTTTTTGTTTATTACTTTGATCATCAAAGTTGGATTTTATTTACTTTCTACAGAATGATTTTACTTGTCCCGTCGGACAAGCTTGATATGGCTTTTTTTACTTGTCAGGCCTTTTTTTCCTCTGGTATAAACGGACAATCAAACAAGTGTTACTGTTGAGCCCTGCCAAGTACAAACAATCTTATTCAAAAGTGTTTCACCTATCGGAAATTCCCAGATTATTTCATATAAAAACACATTTTCAATAAAAATTCTACTGAAGATATTTCTTGTCCAAATTGAATGATTTCTTTTTCGTTAAATAAAGAAATGTCTGCAGTTTCTTGTTATAATTATGAAGTATATTTATGATTTATATTCTAAGGAAAATTACTGTTTAAAGGCAAATATGAATGTCTGCATAAAAAAAAAATCAGGAAAAAATGACAATGTATAAAAATAATGATTTCTCTGTAAGGACATGTCATAAATATATTTGATAATAACCAAATAAAAAACTGTACAACTTTTTGTGTTCAACATTAAAAAAATCATCAAAATCGGACTTCAAATGAGTTCAATATAATGTGTATTTATATGAAATGAAAGGGGGCATAATTTTGGGATATAGGTGATACACTTTCGACCTACAATGTAAGACACAGGGGCTTCTACCGGTTAGTGACCACCGTCATCATGTTGACTATTCTGTCACTTTTATCATAGATGACATTGGGACGGAAATATATGCCACTCGAATGGTATGCGTTCTGCATTGTGTTTATAACTAAAATTTGAAAGAATATCTGCTAATAATTTTAAAGAAAGCATATAGATTTAGTTTTGTACATTGAACTGTTTTCCTGGGAACAATATCGTCTGCAAAGGGAGCTAACCAATTAAAAAAATGGGTTACGCTAAAACCTGTACGCGGACCTGAAAAGACCCGAATAGACCAGCAAATATATATAATTTTTTTCATTAAAAAACATGTTTTTGAAAGATTTCCTCCAAGTTTGGATAATGTATGGAGTCCAGTTAGGAACCTATGCAGAATATACTCTTTTGTGCGAACAATGTGATCTTTTGAGCGCTCAATATAAATATTTTGTGCGTTCAATATAAATATGTTTAGCTATCGAAATTCATTAGGTAGTGAGCTCTAATGTCTCCTGTTCAGAGAGGTACGTCAGTCAGAATAGAGGATTTAAAGAGGTTTAATTTGACATTCGGTAATATTACAGCGAAACACCGAAACGAATTCTGAGAAAACTTCGTTTGTGTGCCAGTTGAGAAAACCAAAGAAGAAATTAAGGCATCCGGGTGGGTTTATGGAAATCGTTGGATGTATTTGAAGTGTAGACAAGCAGTCATTACTACACAAAAAGAGTTTGTAAGAATTTTGATCCCAATTATTTACCCGGAAAGAGTTTTATAAAAACAACAAAAGAAAGATTGAACAGGCGAGAATATGTCTCTAAAAGGCCAAATTTCATATGTCATTTGGATTCCTATGAAAAACTTCAGTCTTATGGATTGTATGTATTTTTTCCGAAGTTGTTGTTCTACGAAATTGGAAAATTGGATGAAACATTATTCATGTTATTTTCCTCACTTTTTGTACTCTGTTCGGGATATCATAAGAAGTTACAGATCAAGATTGAGTTTCCAACTAAATGAAAGAATTTGGCTGAAGTCACAGACTATGGAAACAGAAAATTACTTGGAAATTTCGTATTTCAACACTTTTTAAAAATTATGTATCATGCAATCTATTCGGTCTACAAAAAGAAGTTACTTATCAGGTTTAAGTTTCGTTACAGTTGAATGTTTTTTGCTGAGTTGTCCCCACCATGGCATAGCTTTTGGTAAAAATGGATTGCTCAGGGATCGGGCTCTGTCAGGAAAATCATAGGACATAATTCATTCGGAGACAAATAGGGGAGGAAATACGTCTTTAATTTTTTAAGACCTCATAATAAGGATATCTAATGTATTGAAAAACGGAGACAAATCGTACATATGTACCCCAAAAAGTTACAAAGTCAGAATCACAACACATGTGGACAACAAAACCATTCTACAAACATCGATTGATACAGGATACAGTAAGCTACCGTAACGGTTTAGTCCAGTAAAAAGTACAATCTCAGCATTTAAAAAACTAATCAATGTTAATGTTTTCATTTTGGTTTATTGATGAATATTATTTATGATGAACACGTTATATTATGCTATCAAAACTAAGTTGTAATATTATTATTAAAAGTCTCTTTTCAATATAGATCTATAAGGTATGCTGTATTTAACTGTATTATTGGCGCAAATGAAATGTATTATTTTGACGAAAATGAAATATGGTTTGTGCCTCAAATGAACATTTTTTTTTTGGCGCAAATGAAGTTTGCTAATTTGCACAAAAGCAAAGCACCAATAAAAACGCAGTGTTTTTGCTTTGCCGGTGGCGATTTTGTGTCAGACAGGCCCGCCATACCCATTTGTATTATTGTAGGTAATAACATGTTGGGTTTCAGCCATATACGATCATGAATATACTGCTTAGCTTTTAAGTAACAACCAATGAAACATTAAAATCGCCTACATATTAACAAACATCTAAACAATTTCTGTTGAATTCGGTTAAAAAATGCTAAGAGGTTTCAAACATGATTTAAATGTGAAAAAATCTACCATAAATTGCGTTCAGATGGCAATATCGGTGAACTTGGATATTTTCTGTTTATCATTTCCATTCCGGCTGTTTTGTTGTAGCTAATTCTGTTTTTCAATATATTCATTAACTGAGACCCGAAATTTTCCTATTTCCTATTATCAATTATAAATTTATTGATGTTCCTAATAAAGGTTAACTCGTAAAGCGTTTCGGAACACCAAATTAATAAAGTGTCATTTCTTGGTCGATGCATTGCTTGTGGTATGCTAGTCTGTGAGGTGTCATTAGCCCAAGAATTCAATGGTTCGCCACATTGGCATATAAGTCACGGCGATAACATACACATTTCTTTTTTTTTAATTTCCGTCGATAAATATTGAAATTATTAAGAAAATAAAGTTCAAATTTCCTCAGCCAAAGTAAACCTTATAAAAATAAGGAGAAATTTGGTATGATTGCTAATCAGACAACTATCAACCGAAAACCAAAGAATTTGGAGGTAATCAATTATAGGTCACCGTACGGCCTTAAAATAGTCTAACGCATACCGTATACAGGTATAGTAGGCTATAAGTTATAGTCCCGACATTACAAAATGTGAAACAATTCATAGGAGAAAACCTACAGCTGAAACAATTAGCGAAAAACAAAATTTACAGACAGCAATCAACAACAAACAATGAATTACAGGCTCCTGATTTGGGACAGGCACTTAGAATGAGGTGAGGTTAAACATGTTTGTTTGCAAGCTATCAACCGACTCCTTAACCCGAAACAATGGTTAAACAGCAATAGTTTTAGTAGAAGACATACCATACATCATATAATTTTTATCAAATCATCGATTGAGAATACTGAAAATCTGAACTGTAGAAAGATTCTTACATTCCTGCCAAATTCGGCTCAATGTTACAGGAAAAATTAGTTAAACACAAAATGTTTTATTCATAGGACTATATCTACTTGTAACTCTATGATCCACTTTCATCACTAGAGTTAAAATTGTTAAGTGGTGTGATAACAAGTTTGGCTTCAATCTATGATTAAAAATGTTAAATTGTCTGATATAATTACTACAAGCTCCCAGGGACCTGAATTGTCATCTGACTGACAGCATATAATAGTAGTTTACATTAGAAAAACACAGAAACTTCAATATACTATCACATTAAATAACTGTATGGCACAGACGACTATGCGTACAAAGGCCACATTTCCAACTGTAGCTTGGCGGCTCATAACGATAATTTGCGTGGAGCAGACCACTCAAATCAACTGAACTATAATGTCCAAACTGTAGTTTCTTTTCCAGGGACGAACAAGCGTTTCTTATTCTTATTGTGCCGTTTAGGTGGTTCATATATCTCAATTTTCAAATGTAAATAAAAAATTATATTCCTTCATGCACATCTATTATATAATGTTCTACGTGAACCTTTAGAAAGGTTTAGGGCGCTTACATGATTCGTGGACAGACAGACAGGGGTGATACATCTAAGTCTCTCAACTTTGTTTGTGAGGGTATAGGTATGGTTATTCATATCTCTGGTGGTGGTTGTCTCGTTTGCAGTCATACTAACCCCTTTTCAAAATGGCTGGGTCCGGGCCTGTTAGATATGGACTAAACGCAAAAAGTTAACCAATATGTAGTTAGATAGATAGTACCTTTTAACAAACGCACTTATAGAGTAGATGAATCTATTGACCTCTATCAATTTGAAGTCGGGCCTTAAAATACAAATATCGCTGAAAAATTCAATCTCAGTTGTTGAGTATCAGCAACAAACAGCTTGTATAAAAAAAAAACTAATTACACCGAAGCATATAATAACAGATGCTGCATTTCAGCATACAACAATCTATATAAAAAAAATTATTTTCACTGAAAAGTGTAGTAACAGAAATTGGGTTTCAGCTACAACCTGTTAAATAAAAGTTTATGTTTAAATGAAACATATAATCACAGAAGTTGCATTTCAGCAAAAAATAGTTATAATGAACAATTTCAATCCCCTAAAATGTAGCTCAAAAGCAACAAACAATTAAATAAGTAACACAACCATCTTTTTGAAAAAATATTGGTGAAATTTCCTGTGATGTGAAAATAACAATTAAAATTAAGCCCATTCATAAATCTTCAAATTATTTTGATAATTTAGATATGATTAGCCAATACTAGATGTTTGGATTGATAAAAATAAGTTTAGTATACATAATATTTTGCCTTAAAAGTCCTTCACAAATCTCATTTAAGAAATCCTAAATCACACGGTACAAAAGTAAGAAGATGCCATATAAAAATAAAAAAATAGCACAATTCAAAGCGAAATAATCACTCGAAGAAAGCTATTTCCAATCGATAAGGAATAGTAATAGTAATAATCTCGAGTAGTATTGCTTTATATAAGGGTAGAAATGCCCTTTATCGTCAAGCGTCAAACGTCCGTTTTTTCGCTACCATTCCTACCCTCATATATACAATAGGTCTTCATTTTATAAAATCTGTGTTTTCCTATATAAACATATTGAATGTGGTGTTTTACTTTCATAGTTCGCTTGTATTCATATAATTTAAAACTTATGAAATCTCAATTTAATTATTAAGTAACAACACAGAGCTACAATGGGGAGTAAATAACGAAATTATCATTATTCAAATTAAACTATTTACAATTTTCTTCCTTATTTTCTATTGTCAGTCCAATTGCCCATTTACCATTGTCATGGCTCTAGAAAAAAAGACAGTTTTATTGGAGAGCTAAAGGCAACAATTAGTTTATTGACGAAGAGCATACCAAATTAGTTCAAGAGTAACCTTAAGTGTGAAAGCAAGATGTCAACGAACCTCTACTACGGTTTTAAAAAAGTATAATAATGTCTGCGAAAAGCTATTTTATGATATAAAAAGGATGTCTTCCAGGTTTGTTTTTTTTTAATTACTAACATTCTTACTTTCCTTAAAAAGAATGTAAATATAACCGGAAGAAAAGTGACGTTAGGAACGTTTACAATAATTCAAAAAGTGCTTGGTTTAAACAATATTTTATTCGATAAGTCAAATCATGCTATATAATATAATACAGTATAAACAATAGGATACAGAAACAAGCAACATTGCTTATTTTAATCTGTCTCCAAAAGAATATTGACATACAATATAATGAATACTTGGAGCATGCTCTGTCAATTGGAATATATTAGGAATAGTTAATACAAAAT